GACAGCTGGCCGCCTTAGGCGGCTAGTGATTAATAACTATATTTCTAAAAAATGAATGTTTGTCTGTTTGTGGAGGGTTTTCTTTATAGACTCCTAAATCATTCAACAGAAATCGATGAAATTTGGCATACAAATAGTTTAAAATGCGAGGAAGGTCACTGTCGACATTAGAACATTCTACGACGGACTGTTCGAGAAAGATGAGCAAACAACGAAAAGGAATATTCTGTTTGGTTAAGCATTAGCCATTGTTTAAAATTTAACTATAGACCATTCGATTTTTAACATATTTCAAAAGTAACATCAGTGGTAATTGCCAGTTTATAGCTCGATTTGATCAAAAAAATATTTATTTCTCTTAGTTTGTTTAAGAGAAATATAAAAAAATCGCTATATTATTATTGATGCCAATGATTTTAATTAATTTAAGTAATATATTCAGATTGAAAAACGTGGATCCCTCACGGAACATAAAATGGGATTAGAACGGTATTTTTTGCATGGATAGTGACAACGCTAAACAAGGACAAGAAGACTCAATCGCCGTGGGTTTGTTTCTCATCGCGTCAGACCACCTTCAGTGAAGCTGAATCGCTTCTCTGTTGAAAATGTATGGAATTTATTTTTTTTCATCTCCACTTCGCACCGACGTTTTTTTATGCTGAAAATATTGTTTCTTCTTCTCTTGAAGTTTTTTTTAATTGTGGTGGTTACGTTTAAAGGAAGAAAAAAAAGTATTAGTTGCTTTTTTTCAACTTCTTTTAAAACTTTAAAATTCTGTTACTGCAACCGTGAGAATAGGAATATAGTTTTTAATTCCTCTTGCTTTTAATATATTGGATGCAAAACGTTTGATTTTATATTTATTTCATTTATTCATAATTTTGTAGGTCTATTTCCAAAGCGGTTACACAGATTTGTGTTTATTTCCAAGAATTTTTTGTTACTTACAAAGCAGAAATCTGTACTTCTGAAGAACAAAAATTCAATTTTTTCATTAGATAAATCGAGGTGCTGTTAATTTTGTTTAATCAATCAGATTTTGATGTTTTTAAGCCTGCTTTTCTACTGCAGTTGCTCATCGGATTCTGACATCACATTTCGTACAATGAATACTTCAGCACCGGGAAGAAAAAGCTCAGTGAATTGAGGTTCGGTAACCGAGGAGGACCTGGTTCGGTAACGTGGCAGATCAACAGCTCAGATTAGAATGCGAACCTGGTCGATTCTAGGAAAATGGACCTGCGTGAATAAATATTCAAAATTATCGTAAAATTAAAAATAGAAAATTTTTATTTTCTAATAGGTAAGATTTTTTTTTTTTTTTTTTTTTGAATTTGTAAAAAGTGTTTAGATAAATTCTTACAAAAAGTTGAACACGCTGAATTTTTACACGGGTTCTTCATTTTGTTGCGTTATATTCGCTTGGAGTGCTGAAAATACTGAAGAGCAATAAAATAGTTTTTAACATTATATATAAATATTTTTTTCCTTTTTTCTTTGCTTCATTTTTTTTAAATTTGGCCCGATTTAATTAAATTAAAACTTTAATTTAATTAAAACTTTATTAATAAATATAATGTAATTTCCCAGAAACGCATGCAGCTTAGTTTTACATTTTTTTGTGAAAACTTTAGTAAAATAGAAAATTTAAAAAAAAAAAAAAAAATTATCAATTAGAAAGGCAAGGCATTCAACAAAAAAAAAATTCCCGAATTAAAACTGATAATAGTTGTTATTTAAAAAATAATTTTATTCAAGGTTAACACATCTTGAAAACTGTTAACACACCTGGTAAAAGTAACTAAAAGTTACGAGCTACGTGTCTTCGAATTACTTTTACACTTTACTTTGAGCGCAATTTTTTTTCCAAATAAAATATTGAAATTCATGTCAACTGTATTAAAAATTTGTAATAGAGGAGAATACAATAAAACTAACATAATTTTGTCGCATTTTCCAATTTTTCGTGTTATAAAGATCATTGCATATATTATTGATTAGACCTGGCATTTAGTACGTAACTTAAATATATTTTTTACTACTGCAAACTATTGACGCCAGTGATGCTTAATTTCAGTAATAAGTTCTGATGCGTGGTGACAACTACTAAATATAAGCTATATTTGTTATAAGTTCTTCACAGCCACTTAGCGAAGTAAGTCAGTTAGTAAGTTTATACAGGCTTAGGTAAAGAATCTTCGGCCCCTTGGTTTGGTGATAAATTTTGTATAATTTTGCTGAAACCCCGTTTCTGATTACAGGTGCTCTACCGTGATATTCTTTGACGTCACCTTCGGGTTACTGCATTCTTTCTTTTCCGCTACGTGATTGGTTTATCACATATATTGGTTAATTTCTTGAATTTGCGTTCGCAACGAAATGTAGGAGGCAATGTTGTACGAGATGAATTCCTGCGCTTTCCATAAGAGCAGTCATCCAGTTGCTCTGGAAATGTTTTCAATGCGGCAATGTAACGTTTCTTCTTTATTGTGACTTATTAAATTTAAAAAAGAAAAATGTTTGATTCTTTCTTATGCGAGCGAAAACAAAATGGTATCTCTTTTTTTTAGAAAAGGAACATCCAAAACACATCGGAAAAATATTTGTAAATAAACAGAAAAATATATATATCTTCTCATTAGAGTTAAAACCTAATGCCTGAGAATTAGTTTTATTAAATTTAAACATAGAACATGAAAGGCCTATTTAAACTTCACATTCCATAGTTTTAAGAATCATATTACTTCAAACATTAAAATATGCAAAAAGTACTCATAAGCTCATAATTTTACATAGCTTAATTTTGCAAAAAAAGTTTTTTGACAACAATTTTTATCAAAAAATTTTACATTTCAATAGAAATTATTATTTAGAAACTAAAAAACGTAAAATAAACAATGTTTACGAAACAAAAAAAAAACGATTCTAAAAATTCCTCACATTAAAATAAAAAACTTTAATGTTTCTTTTTGTTTTACTTTTATTCATAATCGGACGTAGAAAATCATTCTAAAGAAAATTACTATCAAATAAAAAAAAAAACAATTTATTATAAAAATTGCAACACGTACCTGTTTACAAATCCAGAGAATTCCAAAATTATATATTTTCATTTGAAAACTTTATTCTTATATAGTACATACATAGATTATCCTTCCATTACTTTAAGATGACATACCACACAATAAAATTTTATAATTGCAAGATCTCGATATGAATTTCAATTTGTAAGTTAAAAACAGAATAACTGAATTCTAGTTTAAATTTATCATTCTCAAAATTAAAAAATACTTACCAAGAAAAAGATAAAAATTTATTAATAATCAATATAAATGATATTATTTCAAGTAATTCAGATGATTCCTTATTGTTGCATCCCGAATTATATAGATCAGGGGTTTCCAACTTACATGAGGCCGGGGGTCACAATTAAAAACACCAGTCAAATGGCGGGCCACAACTTTATCAAAATTTTATATAGGACTCTTTATATAGGTGGATTGTAAACTATTACTAAGTCGAATTGAAATAACTACGGTGCTTACAGTTTCTTTTGCTCATAACAATGTCTATTTAGTGACTTTTTTTTTAATGAAAAATTTTCTTCTCGCCGCATTGTAAATAAAAAAGAAAAACAGCATTTTGTAGTCAAATTTTATTGTTTTTGCATATCTATTCAAATCTAATATAATTTCAAATATGTATACAAAGTATATGTATATGTATATGTATGTAAATGTCAAATATGTATATGTAATATTCTTTGTATATACAATATATATACAAAGTTTGTATACAAATCATTTTTCGCATTTATACTAAAAGAATTGTTCGTTACAGTAAATCAGTATTTGTTCTATACATGGAATTACCTTATAGCAAGATAGAAAAGCTAATTTTTTTACCGATCTATTCAAAATACTTACAATTTTTTCCCTCAGTAAGAAACCTGTTTGAATCTATATTGCTTAATGTTGCAATGATATAAAACAATAAAGACATAAAACTGAATATATTTATAGATAAAAGTCGGAGTGAACTTTGAGACATTCAAGATTGTCGAGTTCAAACTGTCTGATTAGTCAGTTACCGTTAGACCTGAAAATAATAACTCGACATGTGGTGAATCAATAAAAAAAAATGGCGAGTAAAATTAATGAGACAGCCAGTCACTTTTTCAAATTGTTCCTCTTCTTTTCTTTTGAAAATGGCCTGATGATAAAAATAAATTAATGCAGAAAGACTTTGGAAAACAGAATTTTCATTAAACCCTTCAATGTTTCCATTAAAAATTTTGAGCCATCAGAATCCATCAATTTGTAATTTGAAAGGTTCATGTAGAATGAGAATTCCTTAACTACTCACGTAATGCAAAATTGTACATTTTGGATCCTTAAATATTTTAAAATTAAGTTCGCGGATTAACTAAATTTTGACACACTAACTAATTTTTTAATCATATTATTTTATTGATTAATTAACTTTTTATAGCCGTAGATTATTTCTAATGTGATTTTTTTTAAATATAATTTAATCTAAGCAAAAAAAAACCTGCTAAATGTGGCTTTAAAATTAAAAGAACCTATCGATATCAGTCATAGACTCATTAGGCTTAAAGAAAATATGGCTACTAAGTTAATAACTGTAATTTTAACTACCGGTTAATAACTGTAAGTTTAAATTTCCATGTCTAGTTACGGAAAATCAGTTAAAATTTTTAAACAACGCATTGATAAGTAAATATTTTATTTGACTATCTAATATACATTCACAACGCATAGATAAGCAAATATTTTATTTGACTATCTAATATACATTCAAAATGTATTTAGTTATATTTATTAATAATGTTTTTAATCCAATCAGCTTTGTCAGCTGTTGCAGCAAACACAACTCTATTTTCTGGCAATCCGCAGAGGCCGCCCATGAAATTGGTGGCACTGGCATAGCTTACAGCTCCCATCAAAAACCATTTATCTCCCAGTTTACAAGAAAGGGGTCCACCACTGTCACCCTAAAATAATAAAATTTGACGATTGAAGCTATGTCACTAATTAAAACACTCTCGTTTCAGAAAACACATGTTTCAAATTTCTCATTTCCTTCTTTTTTCTGCATTTATTTTCGTCCTAGCAAGATATTTCAATGAAATATTTCTAATACTTACACTAAAATTTAAAGACAATTTATGCACTGTAAAAATATCGAAAAAGGAAAAAAAATATAGTTTTCTGAATTTTAGTTACAACCTTTGTTTTACACATTTTGAGCATCTTTAAGTTTTTCTTTTGTCAAAAATATAAAGGATCCATGAACATAAAAATAGAAAATATAATAAAAAATGTGAAGAATTACAACTTTAGCATCATGTGTATAGTTAATTTTTTACTATTAAAATTTATATGAAAGCTTTAAACGTATAATTTAGCTTATAAAAAAATCTAATCGAGCTGTAACAAAAATCTAAACCCGTCTAAATATTTATTAATTAAAGGTTAACGCAATAAAAACAATGTGAATAAAGCACAAATGAAAATACATAAATGGGCATACTATAGTTTCGGCTCTATAAATAAGAACCTTCCTCTGTATCAAAACACCAAAAGTGTTAAAACAATGAGATTACACTAGACTCTTAGTGAATTTAGTGCTTAGATACTGAGAAAGGTTCTTGTTTATAGAACCGAAGCTTTATAGTTTGTCCAAATTTATACTTTCATCTGTGCTTTGATCACGTTGTGCTTTGATCTTTGATCACGTTGCTTTTATTGCTTTAATCAAGAAGATTCCAATTATTCCCTATCCTTTTTTGGAGATTTAAAAGATTTGAGACAAGTTCGTAACTATTAAAAGGAAAAAAAAAGAAAAACTTCGTAAGTTAAAAAAAAAAAAAAATTAGTATTAGTAAATGTGTTTAATCAGTAGTTATTGCGAAATGAATTGTACAGAAATAAATACTAAATAAAATATAAAATAAAATTTGACAAAATAAAATGGAACAAAAATTTGAAATACTATTCACTACAAAACGAAGAAAATTGTGATTGCCGCAAGGCGATCACAAGCATCACCCAGTGGCAAAATGATTGTTGTCTAATTGTTTTTGGAAGAGAAACTTTATTGTTACATCTTTACATCTAGTTATTGTTACATTGTTACATCTAGTACATCTTTAACTGTTAATCCTAAACTGCTTGGTAGACAATTTCGCAAACATATTTAAATGCAGCTCAGACACATTCTGTGTAAATTCTTTTGATGACTGAATAGACATTGAAGAGTCAATCGAGATCAATATTAACATTTTCGGCTTGGTACAATGGTGTTTGATGGAGATTGTAAGCTGCATCATACACCCGTTTCAGATTCACAGGTTCATACATGAAATATGATTTGCAAGCTAGGCATTTTTTTAATTTTTCATGAATAGTGAATTAATCATTTAAATTGCGGGGAAGACAGACTACGGTCTTGTGCAAGTTATTGGGTACGTTGACAGTGGATTATTTTATCCCTAACTGGTGATCAGCACCCATTTCTTATGTTTGCATGAGAAAGGTTCGGTGAGTCACCATTCGCTCTTTGGTAGGGTTCAATTCTCTCAACCACTTTGGTACTTTTGTGAGGGACGGACTTCATGCATGCGTTTGCGAAAGGAATCCTTTCGTTTTTTCGTTTGTGTGTAACGCTTAAGGTATTCCCGTCTTCGTTATTTGGCTTTTTCAGCCTCAGTAAGTTTAGGCCTCTTCATCGTTTTTTTTTTTTTTTTGCTTCAACTCTAACTTTTGGGACCATGTTTGGACTCTCTTTATTTGTGATATTTCCCTGAATTAGTATTGAAAATGATCCAGTAGAATTTCTGATTCCTAATTAAAACAATAAAAACAAAAATAGCGTTCAAATGATGAAATTCTCTTTTATTCACAACTCAAGAAGTATTTATGAGATCTCTCTGGTCCCATATTTCAAAAATGAACTCACAAACTTCATGCATAACAAAATTAAAAGTGAAAAAAAAGAAGTTTAAAGAACTATCAAACAGCAGCAGTCGCCATAGCAACGCATGCGTACTGTTTACTATTACTCTTGATTATTGTAGTTGAAAAGTGCGGGTGCCTTGAAATTCAAGCAAAGACCCATTTTGCCAAGGGGTAGAATTATTTTATTCTTGTTAAAATTTATGAAAGCATGCTTAGATAAATTAATAAAATCTTACGTGGCATGGGGAGTTGTTTATTTTGTGAACGCAGATTTGTACTGGTGGACTATAAACATTGTTGCATGTTTCTTCACCTTGCACTACTTGCTCAGTTTGTTTCAGAACATCGGTAAATCCAGATCCTGCAATTTAAATTTTATGTTTTATTTATCAGATACCGTGAGCCCCAATTATCACCAGAGTTTCAAGAAACATTTTTTTTTAAAAAAAGAAAGAAAAAAAAGAAAGAAACAGGAGGGTATAGAAATGTACGTGAATTATTATAGAAATGTATGTGAAATTAGAATTTCTTCATTCTACTTATAAAAATTAGATTTGTTCTCACTGAGCTTTAAAATTAGTTGCAAGCTTCCTTAAAGAACTTAATGGCTAACTGTGAAAACTATCAAATTATGTTTTTTTAAAAAAAAAACACACATTTTGAAGCAACAACATAAAGCTCTTTGTGGATAGATGATTTTAAAAGATTTAGTTGTAGTGGTGTGCCATACAGCACAAACCTCTCTTGCAAGTTTATTGCTGATATATCCATGTGAGCTTGATGAGACTATTCCCGAGTTAAAATTCTTGATGGTCCCATCAAAAAATTTTGACTTTGGTTTCAATGCGATTCATGATGGTCCAACATCATTTGATGCTCACCTTTGTGGTGAACCACCTTCTCACCAGATGGCGATGAACTTTGCTCGCCAGGTGGCAGTACAAAACTTTCCACTCTAGGAAATGACTTTTCTATAAGAGGGCAACATCTCTGTGTTAAAACCTTAGTTTCAAGAAATGGCAACAGGTAAATTGAAAAACATTCATTCTATCTTGCTGACCGATGGACTTACATCTTTTTTGAAATGCTGCTGTTGCTAATCCTATTTGTTTTTCTATGTTGTAACTTAATATAATTTATTTTATTTTTTATTATTATTAAACTGTGTTGATAGTTAATTTTTATTGAATCAATTTATTTAATATAGTTAACCTAATCACCACACTTTCATACAACATTTTTCATTATGGGTTCATGGTTTTTGATATACCAATAAAATTTCCTCATTTCATGATGGAAAATGCTACTTTAATACTATCATGGTTAATCATCAAGAAAAATTTCATTCTCATTGACCAACAATTCATGATGATCCCAATGATTGTTTCGCAATAATTGTCTTTTCTTGGCAGAAAACAGTTTTTCTACTAAAGTTAAAATTATTCACTTAACATATATGTACTAAAAGGAATTCTGTTTGCTTTCTCTGGTGCTATTATTACTATCTATTATTACTATACTACTACTACTACTATACTGCTTTTATTATTATGCTATTATAACTATAGTAATATTACTATATATTAGTATTTTAAATATTTAGATCTCTTGCTGAACAGAAGTGATTTTTCAAAGTAATCGATTTTTAAAATAGCAATTATGTTCTTATAACATTATATTGCTCAAACTAATTTCATGAGTTCACAACCACAATTTAATTCGCGATCGCAACGAACTATAGGGGGCGTTGTTGTATGAGACGCTTACCTGCGATTTCCATATGAACCGTCATTCAGTTACTCTGGAGACGTCGTTAATGTAGCGTGTAGCATTGCAACGTTCCTTCTTTAATGTGGCTTATTAAATTTAAAAAAGAAAAATGCTTGATCTTCTTTCTTGTACAACCGAAAACAAAATGGTATCTCTTTTTATTAGAGAAGGAATATCCAAAACACATCGGAAAAATATTTGTACATTAACAGAAAAAAATATGTATATTCTTATAAGAGTTAAAACCTAATGCCCGAGAAATAGTATTACTAAATTTAATGATATAACATGAAAGGCCCATTTAAACTTT